TATTATTTGCTTTGATGCCCAAATTGTCTCATGCTTGGTCAGTGGGATCCCCTTCCAGCTTGGATCCATGTACTTTGGACATGTCCCCAGCATTCTCTGAGCAGTTCTTTACTTCATAGCATAAAATGTTCCAGATTTATTTTGTACTTACCAAGCCCAGCCCAGCCCAGCCTTGATACTAGCTTTCCTAAAAAGCATAAACATGATATTTAGAAATAAGGACCTAAGCCCTTGTATGTTCATTGCTATTGGAGTGGCACTGCTTCTAGCACATTTGGAAGGTATAGAAAAATCACCTTTTTATTCTATATGTTCCTACTTATGTCAAAAATGCAATTCATACTGGTTCCTCCAACTGTAATTAAACCTCTCAGGGTTCATTCTAACCTCCCCCTTTCCAGATTTGCAACTCCCCTCTCCGATGGCATGAAGCCTGACTTCCATCATCTACAATACATTTACAGATGACCTTTGAACAATGTAGGAGTTAGAAGTTCAAGGGCTCCACATGGTCAAAAACCCATGTACAACTTTTGATTCCCCCCAAATTTACCTAATCGCCTATCATTGACCAGAAGCCTTCTCGGTAACATAAACAATTAATTGACACACATTTTGTATGTTCTGTGTATTATATACTGTATTCTGACAATGTAGTAAGCTAGAGAAAAGAAAACGTTGCGAAGGAAATCATAAGGAAGAGAAAATATATTTACGTTCCTTAGGGGGAAGTGGATCATCATAAGGTCTTCATCCTCGTCATCTTCATGGTACGTAGGCTGAGGAGGAAGAAGAGGGGTTGGTCGTACTTTCTCAGGGACGGCAGAGATGGAAGAAAATCAATGTACGAATAGACCTGCCCAGTTCAAACCCATGTTGTTCAACAGCCACGTGTGCTTAATTTCTAAATCAAGTAACTGGAATTTTTAGAGTTGCCTCTTTCCTAGTTTGGATGAAGGCATAGATTTTACACAATTTTATTTGTTCTTACTGAAATGTATATATATTCGGACTTACATAACTGTCATTACCACAGCTACCTCAGAAGTAAGGCTAATTTTTTTAACACTCGAAGTAAAATATATATAATTACAAAGAAAATCTGTTATATTGAAATACACACAAAATATTTAAGAGTTTCTTTTGTTAACACATTAAATAACTAGGTACGGTGGCAGGACCATCACAATTTTAAAGTAGTAATGAGTATAAATTATATTTTGAGATAACTTTCACAACTGTAAGGTGACATGAAAATATTTATAATTGTTATTGGTAACAAAATCAGAGGTACTCCAAATACTACTGTGGTTTGTTGTTACTTTTCATAACAGAAGATTGTTCTGTTAAATTTCAGTTACAGGTTAGAAAGAATAAAGATGGAATCTTTTCCTATTCAAATAGACCTCTGAGTTCTGTCCACAAACTCTCTCTCGCTTCCTTTGCCTGAGGAACTTTCATAGGGACCCAGATCATCTACCCAAGTGAATTCAGCCACCTTCATACACAGGGACAGAACCTACGTTCTTCCTCATGGCTTACCCTCCCCCAATCCTTCATCTACTTTTCCTCCCTATGGGAACTCGTGTCAGTCATCAAACTTTAACAGATGGGTGGAAATAGCAACAACCATATCAGAAGTCAGATGTCACTTTGGCTGACAGACTTTTGCCCCAGCCTCTTAGCAGCCCTGGGCAAGGTGTGACTTGTTGATTTTATCAACTCAGCTTGGATACCACTCAATCCAGCTCAGGGTGCGGCATTTCAATCCCAGCACACCCTCACCCATTCCCTTACGGTAGAGGGGCACAGCACTACAGTCCCAGTGGCCTCGGCAAATCTCTTTGTTTCCTTGAGCCTGTTTCTGAGGCAAATATGCCCTTTCTCACTCAAAAAGCTGTTGAGAGGATCAAACGAGACCCATGTAAAGTGCAGTGCAGAGTACTTTGCAAATGTCGGCCATTGTCTTACTATTACTCCCTTCCTGCTTGCCCTTTGTGAAACTGACAACACAAAAATGTACACTCTCTGCTGTACAAAACATTAAGCCTTATGAATATTTGCCTTCTTCAAGTAATTCCATTGGGAGTTTGGATTGCAGTGAAAGCTACAGAATCCATTCAGGGAATTTGTTAAGTATTTAGTTACTCAATAATTAATTTATCGAGGCCAGACTTGAGCAAAACACTTTACTAGTTGAATTTATAAATACAAAATTTCCTTAAAATGTTTGAATGCATAATTTTGTAGGAATTAGTTATACCACCATCACCCCCATAAATATATATTTGTAATGTATTTGTGTATTTCAGAAAGGGAACCCCTATACATGGACACTGATTTGCAACAAATCATAACTCCCACACAGAAAGGAGTTGGAAAAACTGTATTAAATTCTTAAGCCAGGGTAATCCAAACACTTGACTAAATAGTCATAGCTAAACCACAAAGGCCCATGGGTTTCCCCAAACTTAACATATTTTAATATTTCCTTATCTTAATTTGTATCAGTTAACAATTCTTTTATCTTTCTCTTCTTTAACTGTAGATCTTATAGGGCAAAACAAAATGAAAACAGAGCTCCCAGTTTTCCTGGGAAGTGAGGAAGATACAGTACATGGAGATATTTTTTAAAATCTGAAATAACCTGGGCGGCGCCTGTGGCTCAGTGACTAGGGCACCGGCCCTATATACCGAGGGTGGCGGGATCAAACCCAGCCCTGACCAAACTGCAACAGAAAAATAGCCAGGCAAGGTGGCAGGCACCTATAGTCATAGCTACTCAGGAGGCTGAGGCAGGAGAATCACCTAAGCCCAAGAGCTGGAGGTTGCTGTGAGCTGTGATGCCACAGCACTCTACCGTGGGCAATAAAGTGTGACTCTATCTCTAAAAAAAAAAAAAGGAAAAAAATCTGAAATACTCTCCTCCTTAAACAACAGTAGAAATAAAGTATATGTATGTACATGTGTTTGAAGTTCTATCATGTGTACAAGGTGTGACAATTAAGTTCATGAACTCATTGTACCGTGATATTCAGCAATAAGGTATTTAGCACTTTTTCTAGGGTGAGTTCGCAAAACATAATTGTTAGACCTTGTACAATGACAACACTGATGGCCATCCAGAAAAATAGTTCCAAAATAGCTTTGAAGGGTGGACTCGGCACTGGAGTGGTGCATAGCTTCCCAGGGGAGTACTTCCAGGGTGACCACAGTGATATTCAACACGGAGGTATGTGGTACTTTTTCTAGGGTGAGTTTAGGAACTTAATTGTCCAATATGTGTGTATTCCTTATTAGAGAAAAATACATTTACATATACAGGAAAAAACTGGAAAAAATGTACTAAATATTGAGTCAAATGTGATTATCATGATCACTTTCTTTTTCAGTATGTGTGTTTTGTGCTTTTGTCTTTTTTTATGTTGAGCATAAGTCACTTGCACAAGCAGAATAAAATAAATAATTTTTAAAAGTTGTTCCAAGAAAAAAACAGAAATACTTATAAGAAAATAAATGACGTTCAAAGTTTATAAACCTGCTTAGCCTTGCAGCACCTTTTGAGACACCATGTCCATGAACAGCCATGATTCCAGAAGCATCGCAAGGTCTGAATATCAACTCAAGGCCTTTTGATTGTCTAGTGTGAGGCACTCAAAGGCCCCCTTGATCTCAAGGCTGAGTCCAAATCAGGAGCAAAGGTCTTGGGAGGACATAAAAGGAAACTTTTCAGATCAGGGAGGAAGGAAATAAGGTCTTCCCCACACAAGATGTTCTTTCTGGGCCTTCTTTCCTCAGGCTCCAAGAACCCACACAGGCCCTGCTTCCCTGTAGGGAGGGCGCCCATAATCTCTTTCCCTTGGGGCTGTGGGTGTGGGGGGACTGGGCCTCCACGACTGATGCTCAGGCCCGAGGCAGCCCAGCGTGCAGCCTGGGCACCCAGACATGGCCCTCAGGTTCTTGCGCTAGGTAGTTCCACCACACCTATAATCAAAGCCTGTTTTACTGTATAATTTTGCTTTACTTTGTCCTCTGCACATGCGATTTTTTTTTTCTCACAGGAAGCTGGTGTTCGTAGATGACAGAGTATTCAGAGTGCTGTGTATTGGCCAGCGTTTCCCCCTCAATCCCTTCTCATTTATCTTACCCTTTCTTGGTGAACTCCCTGGTGGCCTCCCACTTTAATACTGTCAGCATAGAGTTGGGCTGAAGGCCAACATTAATCTGTTTAAAATAAGAATATGAAAACTGAGCTGGGAATAATGTTCTCAGTGGCAATATCACTGTGTTCTTCTTTTCCTGACTGAAGATAATTGGGAGTCTGACAGAACAATTAAAATCGCCCTATTCCTGCTAATAGATGTTGAATCTATTCTGCTCTTGAATTTCATGAAGTAGCAAGAGGTAAGATTTTGCCATGACGGGAAAAAAAATAATACTCAAAGCTACAGAAAATGAGAATTTGGTTCCAGATGAACTTTTTTTTTCCATAACAGGACAATGCTACAGAATGGAGTCTTGAGCAACTTTCCTTTTCTTTGAGTAATGTATTACCACGGAGTAGTTGACTCTTTTACGTGGCTTCTGATTTATTTCGATGGAGTCTTGTGTTTAATTAAAAATTAATCTTTTCTCTAATAACACAAAAAAAGATTTTGCCATGACAGTCTAACTTGCAGATGGATGAACTCCCTTTTGAGAGTAATGTCATCATGGCATGCAACTTGAGCTGCCCACCTCAACCCTGTGACCCTGTCAGCTCTACAGTGGTTCCCCTTTATCTTCCATTGATTTCTCTGAACAGTGCTTGCATTTCTTGAGAGGAACAGTTGATCATTTAAATGACCATCTTCCTAACAAACAACTAAATGAGAGTTATTGTTTCTTTAACCTTCTATTTATCTACTCAAATGCACTATAGTATGTCAAATTCTACAATCCTGGGTTATAATGCCTTCGTGGTTCTAATTTGAGTTTTCTTTCTAATTTTGAACATTCAGGATACCATTTTGTTTTACTGCACGAGAAAGGAGTGTCCCTGTCACATACAGGAAAAAAAAAAATGTTTTTTTGGGTGTTAGCCCTCCTAACCCTCTGTGGTTTTCTGTGGGCTTATCAAGGACAACTAAGGATTACAGACATCACTGACAAGTACATCTTTATCACTGGGTGTGACACGGGCTTTGGAAACTTGGCAGCCAGGACTTTTGATAAAAAAGGATTTCGTGTGATAGCTGCCTGTCTGACCGAAGCAGGATCAACAGCTTTAAAGGCAGAAACCTCAGAGAGACTCCACACAGTGCTTCTGGATATAACCGATGCTGAGAAGGTCAAGAAGACTGCCCAGTGGGTGAAGGACCAAGTTGGGGAAAAAGGTGCAAGATGTGGGAATGGGGAAGATGGGGGTGGGAGGGCACCAATAGAGAAATAACTGCAGCTAAATGGGGGGGGGGGCCTCTTATATACCAGCTGTGTGCTTCTCTAATCTTAGGATAGTTTCTGAGTAGTTCCAAGTTGCAGGCTGTCTATGTGCGCGAGAAGAACAGCTTAGGTTGCTAAAAAAACTTGGAACTAAAATTTACAGAGAATATGAAGGCAGAGACCAAAAAACCATCTGGTTACCTGGGACCTGTCTGCAAAATGGTTCTAGAGTTCACACATTTTCAATGGGCAAGGTAGAAAATGGCCTTGGAATTTAACAGATTCTGCTGAGATCTGAATACTAACTGGCTTAGATTGCATTCTGAACTAGATTTGTATTGGCTTTGAATAAAGTTCAAAATATTCTCATGGATGAAGATACTGGGGTCTGCAAAGGGAAAAGCAAATGTATATGATTTTTCTCCAGTATATCTTCGTCATATATTTAAGAGTCTGAAGCTCAAAAGCAATGATTTGATAAGTAAGGCTCCAATTTTTAATGTTTGAATTCCAAACACCTTTAACAATAATAAATGTTTCCCATTATAAAATACACCAGGATTTTTTTTTTTTTTACCAAAATTGAAGTATATTGATATCACTCTTTGTCCACATAGAACAGTTTGTAAGTATTCTCTGGTCTTGCTATCAAGCAAGGTAGGAAGACTAGACAAATTTACTCTACGTATGAGATTAAAAAGTAAAAAGATCTGCTTAGAGACTATCAGTATTTGATATTTACAACCAGCAATAGAGTAACAGTGAGACCTTCAGCAATTTTAGTGCAGCCTCCCACTCTCTCTGCGATAATTCCCCAAACTGCCAAGTATTTCAAAGCAGGAATATGAGTACAAGGAGGAAAAAGCATCATCTTGTAAGGCAGAGGTTGCATCTTCTTCAAAGATGCCAAGTAAGTACCACCTTTCACCACAGCTCCTCCTTCCTCTCTGTTCTAGGTCTCTGGGGGCTGATCAACAATGCTGGTGTTCTCGGGGTGCTAGCACCCACAGACTGGCTGACAGTGGAGGACTATAGAGAACCTATTGAAGTGAACTTGTTTGGACTCATCAACGTGACATTAAATATGCTTCCCTTGGTCAAAAAAGCTCGAGGGAGGGTTATCAATGTCTCCAGTATTGGGGGTCGGCTTGCATTTGCTGGAGGAGGCTATACCCCATCCAAATATGCAGTGGAAGGCTTCAATGACAGCTTAAGGTAAAGAAAATTAATTGACTCATCAGAAAAGAATAGCTTTAAATAGCTTTTATTTAAATATGCATTTATTGAATGCATATGCACTAGACACTGGTTATTACTTTATTTCTAATTTATAGACAGTACCACTGAAACTAAGAGAAATTAAGTAACTTGCCTAAGGTCATCCAGCTGGTAAGTGATAGAAACTAAGATTTGAACCCACCCAGGTCTATCTAACTTTTTTCTACTTTTCATATTAGTGAGTGATGCTGATAGTAGCAGTGAATTTATATTCAATCTTTCAATGCATCGAATAAGGAATCCTACAGAGAGGCTCAATCAGAGTAGGTTCCTCCGCCAGTGTCATGTCAGCTACACACACAATCTTGTCATCTCATTTAAACCTTCAACAGAAAAATATCAGTTATTCAATAGCTGCTTCTTGCATTCTGTGCATGTTTCACAGCTTCATTCAATAAGAGATGGGAGGAATGTGGTTAATCCATCTTACCTGGAACCAGAACTCATCGCTGCCAGTTCAAAGCTTCTAAATGGCAAGTGGTTCTCTCAGTCAAGGTTCTAGTAGGAAATAGTGGCACATTAAAATTGGGTAAAGGAAATAGAGTTTGTTTAAAGAACTATTTACAGACATGTGGGAGATGTCTAGGGGAATCCCAAAGGCTAGTGCAGAATTGAGGCGCTAAGGACAGCAGAGGCCTTTCCATTCCCCCTATCACTGAAGTGATAAGAGAGACAGGGCAGTTTCCAGAACCTACAAACACAGAGGCTGTTGCCTTAGTGGAGGGTGAAATAACCAGTGTTGATACCACAAGAAAACTAGCTTGACTCCCCCTTTTATCCTCCTGGTCTCCCACCAGCACTTCCAGTTGACTATACCCAACTAACTCCAGAGCAGTTAGTGCAGCTCACCTCCCACCCAGGATGTGGGGCAGGCAGAGAGTGGAGAAAGGGACGGGAGATGCAGATGGAGACACTCCTGTGAGTGGGGGAGAAGAACAAAACCTGAGATGTGCTCTTCAATCCATTTACATTTTCAACTAGTATTTGTTAAAGGTATACGTTAGAGTTTATGATCTACAATCTGGATCTAGGTTGACCTTACTAATGTAAGGTTATATTGTCCCTCTGAGATTGATAAAGATGGAACAATGCCATTTTGTCATTTGAGCAAATTGCTAAATTTGATTCTCCTAGGAAATAAACACAATAACACATATTGGAACAAAACTTCCAAACCCTGAGCATGTGACTCACCTGGGGATTTCATTAAAAGGCAGATTTTCATTGAGTGGGTCTGGGGTGGGGTCTGAGACTCTGCATTTCTAACCAGCTCCCGGGTACTGCCTATGGTTCAGAGCTCACGCTTGGAGTCGCAGGGTCATAGAGAGCATCTGTTAGTCTCCATGGCTGACCTTTGGTTCCACTAGACAAGCAGCAGTATCCTAACAAGATTTTAGCATAGGGACTCAGTGCCTGTGGCTCAATTGGCTAAGGCGCCAGCCACAAACACCTGAGCTGGCAGGTTCAAATCCAGCCCAGGCCCGCCAAACAACAATGACAGCTACAACCAAAAAATAGCCGGGCGTTGTGGCGGGTGCCTGTAGTCCCAGCTACTTGAGGCAGAAGCAGGAGACTTGCTTGAGCCCTGGAGTTGGAGGTTGCTGTGAGCTGTGATGCCACAGCACTCTACCCAGGGTGACAGCTTGAGGCTCTGTCTCACAAAAAAAAAAAAAAAAAAACCACATAGGTACTTAGACATTTACTCACTTTTAAAAGAGATTGCAATGAAGAGTTTGTGAGATTTGCAATGCAGCTACATCATGCCTAAAAATAATCAAGAGTGTTTATTTCTTTATGAATCATGGAACTAGTATTTGGAATTATGCACATAGACCACAGTCCTACAGATTGGCACCTGGTAGGTCCAGAAATTTCTCTAGGAAAGTTTAAAGACAGCAATTAGTTTGTGAGGATTGGAGTTTCTTAAAGCTATATTTGCTCACAAGCATAATGAATTCATAGAGTTTTACTTACCTGATAAGCTTAGCTGGGGGTTAAAGTCACTTGTCCCCAGATTGTTGTTATTTTCATGAGAAGGTGAGGAGACAAGTTATCCCAAACACCCTCTTGGCACTGCTACTTCCAGGATCCAAAGAAGATCAGACAACAAGTAAATAAAATATGATTAAGCTAGAAAAGAATCCTTTTTATTTTAATGCAAATAACATACCTTTTGAAATCTTTTAAGGTAAAGCTAATTTGCATTTTAGTAAAATACATTTCAAGCTACACAATAGTTGCCACACTAGAAAGCAGAATCTAAGTTAAATAACATTTTAAGTTCACTAACAGAGCTTTTAAAAAAATCTTTTAGTGAAGGCATCTATAAAGTGAATAATTACTTCTTTATATATTCCTGGTAGAAATATAGATTAAATTTAGGAAATGATTATTCATACTGATCTGCAATATGGATAGTTCCTGACTCACAATGGTTCGATATAATTTTTTTACTTTATAATGGTGAGAAAATGAGACACCTTCAGTAGGAGTCACACCTCAAATTTTGAATGTTGATCTTTTTCTAGGCTAGCGATTTGCAGCAGATGTATTAAGTGCACTTTTGACTCACAATATGCTCAACTTTTGATGTGTTTATCAGGATGTCACCCTGTCCAAAGTCAAGGAGCATCTGCTCATTGGTTTGCTTTAAAGAAAGGGGTACTATGATTCCTCAAAACCCTGATACCCAGTAAGTGAGAAAGGTTTAGTTTTTTGCAGAAACACGATGAAAAAGCTTGTTCAGCAGCATAGGGAACAGATAAATCACATCCAGGATTGTCACACTGTGTCCTTCAGCATAACATCATCTGTGCCGCAAGCTCCTTATATTGCTAGAATGGGAGTGGACTTGTCCATCCAGGCCAGTCATTAGTCCATTTCACTATGAGGTATTTTAGACACTGAGAAGAAACCTGGCCTTAACCTGAATGCTCATCAAGTTAATGACAAGAGGATGGCATAGGGAGAAGAGCACTGGCCTAGGGGTGGGTTCTCCTAGACTCCTGCTCTGTCCTGCCATTCCCCAGCCCTCACCACACCACCCTGAACTGCAGTTTCCTCATCTGCAAAGTGAGAGGTTGTACTTCTTTCCAATGCACCCAATTCTGTGATTCCATGAAAAGATTCATGAGAAAACAGTTACCAAATACTGTAGCAAACATTCTCTCAAAATACCTGGATTAAACGTTTTCAATGGGTTCTTTTCACAGACGGGACATGAAAGCTTTTGGTGTGCACGTCTCATGCATTGAACCAGGATTATTCAAAACAGCATTGTCAGACCCAGTAAAGACAACTGAAAAAAAACTCGCCATTTGGAAGCATCTGTCTCCAGACATTAAACAGCAGTATGGAGAAGATTACATTGAAAAAAGTGAGTTTCTGGGTGGCTCCAGTATCTTCTGGATTCATTGGTCTAAGCAGCATGAGGAGTTTCAAACATAAATGAAAAACCAAGTTTCCTACAGCAATATACCAATGGGAATCTTAAATATGGGCCTGGGATCTCTATTAATTTTAGTATCACCTCTTGCTTCTCTGGGAGTTTATAAACATTTATGGAGCATTTTCTAGGTGCCAAGCTCTTTGCTAATGAATTATATCATTTATTCTGCAAAAACTGAGTGCTGAGCAGAAGCTTAGAAAGGGGAAATGTCCTACATAAGGTTGTACAATCCCTCCTAGCTATGCCAGGACCTGAACCCAGGCAGGCTGGCTTCGGAGCCCACAGTCTTCATCGCTGCACATACCTCCTATTTTTGTTAAGCACCCAACTGCTCACTCAGCATTTTTCAAAGACCTATAAAAGTTAAAAAAGGGAGCCAGGAGTTATGGTTCCCACCTGTAATCTCAGCACTTTGGGAGGCTGAAGTGGGCTGATTGCTTGAGGTCAGGATTTGGAGACCAGACTGGGCAATCAATAAAGCAGGACTCCCATCTCTAAAAAAGTAAGGAAAAATTAGCTGGGTATAGGGACACACACCTGTAGTGCTGAAGCAGGAGGATCCCTTGAGCCCAGGAATTTAAGGCTGCAGTGAACTGTGATCATGCCCAGCTCTCCAGCCTGGGTGACATAGCAGGACCTTCCCTCTTAAAAAAGAAAAAAGAGAAAGAGAAGATGATTCAGCCTCTGACTCTTAAGTAGTTTACACTATGATTGACAACAAAAAGTAACCAAGGGAGACTGAAACACACAAGAAAAGGGAGAAAGCCAACATCCCAGGGGTGGTGCTAGACACTGCCTCTGTAATTGCCCAAGGAATTCAGACTGGGAAAAGGGCATTGCTGGTCAAGAAGCCCCTACCAGGGACAGATCAGGTTTGAATAAGCCCTAGAGGACAGGGAGGATTTATTTGGGTGGAAATTTTCTGGAGCAGGAATGCTTGGAGGGGAAGATGGAAGAAGAGGTAACAGAAATTAAGAGATTGAGTGGAGGATGGAAGACTAGCAGCAAAGGTTACATAATGATGACTAGCACGTAGTAAACATTTACTAGGTACTTGTCACTATTCTAGTGCTTTACATTGACTCTTTCATTTAAAATCCCAAATATACTCTATGAAATAGATAGTATTATCATCTTCATTTCATAGACATGGACGCATAGAAAAATAACTGACCTGAAATTGCACAGCTAGTAAGTGGAGGAGCTAAATTTGAACCCAGGCAGCCTGACTGCCACTGCACTACAGGGTGGACAAGCATTAAGCTTAGACTTCAGTCAAACTTCCTGTACCAGGGCTGTCCGTCCACTGCAAACTTTCTCACTGTATTAAAGTTTACTTAATATTCCTTAAACACTTAATGAACTCCTGCTTTGAGTTGAGCAGGGTCCCCCCTAACTGTGTGTCACTCTGTTCCTCCAAACTGTGATCCTGCCTCATCACCCATAGACTTAATAAGATGGTCAGCTATGGCAAGGTTCAAGGTTAGGAGTTTTCAAGGTAGAGCTAAGAGCTGAACCAGATCCACCTGGGGAGCTTTTTTAAATGACTAACTCACCACTGCTACTCCAAACACACACACGTCTCAACTAAAATGCTAAAATGTCTGGTTTGACAAATCTCTTACTGCTGATATATTACTGTTGATTTAGAACCATTGCCATTAAATGACCTAAATCCCATTAACTCCGTAGGTTCTATTTTGGTCCTAACACTGAACCCTTGAGACTTACTACTTCAGAAGCAAAATTCCTCATTTAAAAGAGCTCTCTCTGTTTAATATTGACATTGGCACTTTTTAAATGCCCATGATTATATTATCAACTTCCATCTCAAATTATTTTTGAGTGGGTCCTTGGTTCAGAAATACCAAAAGGCACTGAACCCCATTTTTATGCTGGTCATTTGTATTAGAGTTTTCTAAGTCAACAGTTGGAGAACCACCAAATTCATCGTCTCAAAGTAGACTACAAATTTGAAGTCATCTTTTCTCCAGTTCTCAGACTGGGGATAGTAGGAGCTTAAAATAGTGAAAAAAACTTACTATGTTCTTTGAAAAACTGGTAGGCTAGTGGGTCCTGAAAAATGAAAATTATAGATTTTCCCTTAAGAAGACATAACCCAGGAATGTCTTAAGAGTATATGCGGGTCATATGGTAGTTCCACTTTGAGTAAGGGGGGAACATCCATACTGTTTTTCACAATAGCTACAGTAATTTACAGTCCCATCAACAGAGTGCGCATCCTGGTCAACACTTATCTTTTTCTTTTTGATCATGGCCCTCCTAACAGGTGGAAGGTGATGATATTTCATTTTGGTTTCAATTTGTGTTTTCTGATGGTTAATGATGTTGAACATTTTTTTCATATACTTGTTGGTCGTTGGTATACCTTCTTTTGAGAAAAGTCTATTCAGATCTTTTCCACTTTTTAATCAGGTTATTTACTTTCTTGCCATTGAGTTGAGTACCTTATATATGATGGGTATTAACCTCCTATCAGGTAATAGCTTACACATGTTTTCTCCCATTCCATATGTTGTGTCTTTACTCCTTTAAACTGTCTCTATTGCTGTGCAGAAGCTTTTCAGTTGGATGTAATCCTGCTTGTCTATTTGTGCTTTTGGTCATATCAAAAAAAATCACTGCCTAGACCAAGAAGCTTTTCCCCTATGTTTTCTTCTAGTAATTTTATACTTTTTAGTTTTATATTTTTAGGTCTTATGTGTAAGTCTTTAATCCATTTTGAGTTGATTTTTATATACGTTATGAGATAAAGGTCCAATTTCTTTCTTCTGCATGTGGATGTCCAATTATCCCAACAACATTTTATTGATGAGGCTGTAGTCCTAAACCATTACCAATCCCTTATAAAATACCTGCTTCTCTAAAGATGTCTCAGCTCATTACTCAATTGTTTTATCTGCAGTACAACTGAGATACTTCAAACCTCCTAAGTCAAGGCATTGGGGGATGATTCTCTTTTTATTCATAGAACTGTAGAGGCCTATGGGATATGAGTGCGTGCTCACATCCACACACACCTGCACAAGCTCACATGCATACCCACATTTTCTACAAACACAATAATGCCCTGAAAGAAATTAGAAATAAAACCCATAACTTCCCAGAGTCAGGAGCCTCACAGGCTTTATGAAATATTTTTCTCTCCTTCTTTTAAAGCAGTACTTCTCAAATTTTGGACCAGTGGCATCAGCAGCAACTGGATACTGATTAGAAATACAAATGACTAGGCCCCGCTCACACCCAGTGAGTCAGAAACTCTGGAGGTAGAGCCCCGCAATCTGAGTTTTAACAAGCTCTCTAGGAGAGTCTGCTGACCGCCCAAGCTGGAGAGCTGCTGGTCTAAAAAAAAAAGTGCTGCTACATCCTTTTCTGAGAAGGACAGAAACCATCACAATGGGCCTTAATTATCATGTCAAATTGAAAATAAATTCTCTCATATACACCCTCCCCTTTGCACTCTAGTCCCCCCACTCTGCTTTTCTCCTTTCTCTAAAGAGTAAAAGTGCTTTTGTCTCTTTTTATAGGTCTAGACAAACTGAAAGGCACTACATCCTTCGTGAACATGGACCTCTCTCTGGTGGTAGAGTGCATGGACCACGCTCTGACAAGTGTCTTCCCTAAGACTCGTTATGCTGCTGGAAAAGATGCCAAGGCTTTCTGGATACCTCTGTCTCACATGCCAGCAGTTTTGCAAGACTTTTTATTGTTGAAACAGAAAGTTGAGCTGGCTAATCCCAAGGCAGTGTGATTCAGCTGACCACAAATGCTTTCCTCAGGCTATAAGACTGTCCAATTTCAAGAACACATGTCCTTTTCAATCTCATTCCTTACCTAATCCAACCTGGACTCATTTAGACCATTCTTCTTTTGATAAAAGAAGGAGTTCTGATCATCACTGGTGATGCCCCAGGGTCCCTTCTCAAATATTCTTTGAAAAGAAGAGCCAGGATGAACATCACATTGGCAAGTCCTGCCCACTATTTAGGTTTTGCCTGCTTGATATGATGTAAAGGAAATTATCTTCTCCATTGCCTGCATCATGCTTACAGTCCCCAGGATTTAAAGTACTCCTGGATATTGAACATTGTCCCTTATTGAGAAAAGAGATATATAGAATATTGTCATAGGTAGATTAGACATGTTCTGTTATCTTGCTGAGAGTAAGACTCCAAAGGACTGAAGATTTGTTCTACAGAAATTGAGATCTTGCTATGTTGCCCGGGCTGTTCTCAAACTCCTGTCCTCAAGTGATCCTCCAGTCTGGATCTCCCAAAGTGCTTCCAGGCATGAGCCACCACCCCCAGCCCCTGTGGCTCTGAACCTTTGGTGGGGGCAAGAATAGGAACGACAGTGAAGCCTGAGTGACATTGATACAAGCTGAAGAGCAGCAGAAAAACACTAAGTAGAACTACAAACAGAAGAAAGGAAAAAGACAGGAAAAGAAATGAGAGGACTGCAAAACAGAATGCATATACTATTTATGGAAGTGGAGACACTCCAAGACAAGCCCTCCTATTCTAGGGGTGCGTAGAGGATAAACACCCTATTTAAGGCCACTGTGAACAGTGACGCACACATCGTTTTCTGTGGGAAAATGTAATAACAGAGTAGTCATTTCCAAAAATATTAAAGTGTTGGTTATTTAATCTATTCTGGTGATTGTAAAATCACACACCCCAGAATATATGTCATGACTTACACGTGAAATGTTTGGAGATCTTGCATTTAGGTGTCGCTGAGGCCTCAGGAAGAGTGGACCTAAATGAAGAGGCTCTCTTTTGCTCACGTGAACAGTGATCCTGGTTCACAGTCATGGTTTCAAAGTGGATTGACCCTTGGCCCACAGCACCCAAAAGAAGCAGGTGTTTAAATAGATATTTCCCTGGATTCCAACAGCCAGTACCATGTGCCAAGATTTGTTGAATATTTACAGGAAGAAGCCTGGAGTGGCAAAATTCAACAATTTTTTGAGGACTAATATGGTGTAAAAGAGCCAGAGAGGTGATCTAGCACGTGTGTGAGCACACCACACACACACACACCACACACACACACTTAATGCATTGTGAAGAAAAAAATTAATATCCACTGCTTGAAACTGTATCTATTTGAAGGTAACAGTAATTCTATTTATGTTCACTCACATTTCTGGAAACATCTGCTCAGAAGTAACTTCCTCCTTCCACGTCTACAACACATCGATGACTGAAAAATCATGTTACCGATGGTGTCAGCCTACCCGGACAAGTGTCATATTTTGACAGAAGATGTGCTCATCCCTTTTACATCAAAATGAAAAAAGACATAGCAATAATAAGACAGAAGTGTCAGCAAAGTTAGCTACACTGCTCTCACCACCCACCCTTGAAGCCACCCCCTTCTTGGTCCCAGCCCCAGAGAGACTTCACCTGAGGATCTCTGATTCCTTTTGGCTACAATTAACTGACTCACACCCTATCCTTGGAGCTGAAGTTTACCAGTGTTGTTGCTGGGGCCTCTTTCTCACCTTGACTTCCCAAGTCTTGGCTTCATCTCACCCTTGGGAAGTTATGGCAGGCTGTTCACTGACTTTCCAGGCTTCTCCTTTGCTGAACTTCACCCGTTCTGGTCATATTGTTGGCCTACCTCATGGTGTCATTTCCTTTGTTTTGCTTCAACCTGAGTTCTTTGTTCATGCCTTCATAGAGCCACAACTTGGTAACTTCCTATTCCACCCAATCAAAACATCCTCTCCTTAAAAGAAATGTTGCAAATAAATGTTGCCCTCCAAAATAAAAACAAATATATTCTCCCAAATGATTTTTAAAAGGTTTTCAAACTAAATGAGGAGGGGTACCTAAAAGCATTGAAGCATAAGTCTCAACAAAGGCCCAAGATGGGGACGGAGCAAGGAAGGGACCCCAGGAAGTCACTGCTGCAGGCGTCTCAGGCATGCTGAGTTCCTGCCCTTCTCTCCCTGTGGCTGTCACTCCTTGTTCTTTATGCTCTGGGGAAAAGACCTACCCAAATTTTATCTATAGATATGTGAGGAGGCATATTATGAACATGTTGTGCATTCCTCTAAGTCCTGGTCGATAATAGGGATTTGGATAGGATCCTTTCTTCGCAGAATTTTTTTTTGGTAAAGCCCAAAAGCTGAGGTTGATATTCTGGATGCCATAGGAGACCTTCTCCAGGAATGCCTGTCTTCCACCACATCTAGCTTGAAGGCGCCTCCCTTACTTAGGTTAGAGGGACAAGGAGAACTTTCAAAACCTTCCCTCTGATCTGACCTAAAAATCCACTGTCTCTCTATCTGGGTATTCACAAGGTATTCAAATCTGGAATTTTTATCTCCCCCACCCCATCTACCATTTACCCAGGCTCCAGTTCAGAACGAACTTCTGTCAATTTTATGTCCTACAGAGATCTTGGATCCATCTCCTTCTCTTTGTCTCCAGGGTGACCAACAGTCATCTCGTCTCAACTCTACCACACAGCATACTCACGCCCTTGTGCACCTTCAGCAACTTCTCGTGGCAGACAGAACTGTTCAAAATTAAAATCCAATCATTCTACTCTTCTCCAACCACCGCTTTCTTACACACTTCGGTGCGTTCCCACTGCACCCTGGCTAAGGACTGACTACAAGGCTTGGCTTGATCCATGTTGCCCCAGCACTGCTCCCTGGTCTCGTTGTAGACCACACTTCTCTTCACTGTGCCTCTTCAGCACCTTCCCCATTCTCCTCCCTGGGAAGGTCCCATCTAGAGTCCTCCTCCCGCAGCTCTCAGCCTCTTCTTCAGGAAAGCCCAATCAGTTCTAAACTCTGACCACCACCTTTGCCACCTAACTGGGTTCCCATCGTGTAGGCTCTCGCTGTGCCTTGTAATTTGCTTCAGGAACCTCATTACAGTCAGTCACTAGGTATTTATGTGGTTCTAGATAACACTGGTCTCCTGTATCACACTGTAAGCTCTGTGAAATCAGGAACAGTGATACTTTGTTTATCTTTGTATTCCCTTACCCAGCATATTGCTGGCACATAGATGAGCATTCAATAAATATTTAATGAATGCAGAAATCAGTCTATAATAGCCTTTCTAACTAAGGGATAATCTATTATTTAAGATCAAGATTGCCAATCCCATTAGTTGTGCTATCTTGTGCCAATTCATGCGTAAAGTCCCATAACTTCCTAAGTACTTCCTGAAGGCTCCCTGGCTCTGGTCCTGCCATCAGCCTGCTTCAGAGACTTGTCAGTGTTGCCATGACCAAGGGTTCCAGAGACAAAGAGCCTGCCTCCATGTTAAGCCATCCTGGGCCCAGTGCTCAGGACAAAAAGAACATCAGAAATCAAAATTTAGTCCATGGCTAAACCATCTAGGCCAAAGAGAATCTCTTCTAGTTAAAAATCTCTCTAGAAACGCCATAATTTTGTGAGCAACCCAGGTTAATGAGGAAAGTATCTAGAAACTTTTGAGACAAATGATCAATTTTAGCAATTCTTCAATAGTTCCCAAGAAGACAAGAGATCAGAGTCCCATCAATGGGAAGGAAATATCTAAATATTCTCAAAATGGAAAACATTTTGATATTTAAAAATTATTTGTGACAACTTAATATAAACCATACTTTATAAGGATGAAGTTAGCCAACAATCCTGTGGATTTTTGCACATTGAAAAATTAGACAATTCTGTTGCTATTCCTAATACTATCATTCTTTCTCAATCCTGTGATTCATTTTTAAAAAAAGAAAACATGAGTAATTTTCATTGTAATATATGAAGTACTAAAATAGCCAGAGTTTTAATGCAGATTCTGGCTTAGCACAGTGTCCAAGCTCTTTTTTGCATGTCGTAGCATCTGGCCAGGAAAGAACCAGCTCATAGCCCTTGGCAAATTAGTCCCTGGAAATAGCACTGCAGCCTGAAATAGGTCAGGCCCTGGGCAATGGAGCATTCTGTCACATTCTACAACCTGCAGCTGCCTCGAACTGTTCAGTTTCAGTTCCTTTTGAGAAATTGGAAATAGAAAGGATTCTGCTATTGATGCATAGTGTAAGTTCTGGGCAAAAACCATCCAGTCCAATATGTAGGCAAAATATTGACATTTAGCTCTGTGGGTCTATTTTCTCCTCATCAACATGACAACTCTGACTTGACTACGTCGCCACCAAGTGAATTCTGGTGCCTAGATTGTGAACCAGGTAATCCAAACAACCTGGCTTCCCACAAGTATGATAGGCAAAATAGCAGTAAGTGTTATTTAATTCTGAGAATAGGTCAGGTTCCTATTACATTTTACTGTATGTTACATGAGCCACATCACCTAACCCTATCCACATCTCAGTGAGGTTTTTACAAATGGAGAAATGAAGTCACAGAGAAGTGGGCAATTTGCCCAAGGCTAGACTGCTAGTCAATGTGGGCCAGGGTTCAAAGCCAGATAGTCTATTGCTGCAGCCTGTGCTCAGAACCACTGTGCTATGTTATAGAGAATCTGAGTCTTACAGAATAGTTTTCTAAATTTTTATTATGATTCTACAAAAACAAGACCTTTATTAAATAATCTCATATTAGTCTTGTCTAGCTGATAATAATTATTAACGAGAGTGATGTGTACTTTTGTGCAATACACGAATATGTACTCTTTTTCATTTTCCTGTATTTTCTTTAAATTTCTCTCACTTATGACAAAATAGTAAAGCATTTATTCTTCATTGTCCAGATTCCTTGAAGCTTTCTGACTAGATTACTGAATTTTCTTTCTTCCTGTGTTCTTTCTCCCACCTCCCCCTTGCATGTGCGTGTGAACGCATGTGATTGGGGTATGGTTATGGATTATTTGTTGTCATTAGTTGTTTTAAGAATTTATTTGCAGGCCCGGCACCTGTGGCTCAAGCAGCTAAGGTGCCAGCCATGTATACCTGAGCTGGCGGGTTCGAATCCAGCCTGGACCTGCCAAACAATGACAGCTGCAACCAGAAAATAGCTGGGCCTTGTGGTGGGCGCCTGTAGTCCCAGCTGCTTGGGAGGCAGAGGCAGAATTGATTGAGCCCAGGAGTTGTAGGTTGCTGTGAGCTGTGATACCACATCACTCTACCCAGGGCGA